GCGCTTTGGCAGGCAGTAAGCGAGGAGTGGGAGCGCCTGCGCCTTACCCCTGAGGTGGTCGTGAGGCTGTACGAGTCGATGCCGCGACGCGTCCAAGCCGTCATCGCCGCCAACGGAAACCTGACACGTTACTGAGGAAACGTGTGGCAAGACGCCTGGTGTTTACAACCTCACACAATTAATTTCGTCGTCTTTCGGACCTGGGCGACCAGTCACGCAGTCACTTTTGCCGAGATATTCAATTCTCGCGCTCGGCTCCGACGCACGGAAGTGCTCAGGCGCAGCTTCGTCGTCGTCGTCATCCACATGCTGACGGCTCGCCGAAAGTACAAGCTGTTATGGACCGAAGGATCCTTGGGTATTCAGTTGCCGCTTCGAGAGGAGCAGAAATACTTTATTATTTTGCCAAGGGGGAAAATAAAAAAAAACGGCTCAATGGGGCCCCATGTTTTTCTCTCAAACTGACCAGCAGAAGTTTATTTGAGTCCTGAGGGGCCAATCTGAAAGAGATAAACAATACAAAAACTCAAAATAACCTGATAATTTTAACAATATCACGCAGTCCCTGCTTGCGCCATTTATGTGTAGCTTTCCTCACAGCTTCCATTGTTTTTATGGCGACTGTTCTCGCTGTAGCACGTTTTGAATCGCAAAGGAAATCCCTACGGTCGAGCTTGTATAAACGTAACAGCCAGATATTTTACAGGTGACGCTGAGGTTTTTTTAGAACCACTTTTTTATTGTTCAGACGGCTTCTTCTAAAATTGTAATTATGTTTTGATCTTTTAGGACTAGACAGCGGCTGCATAGAAGAATTATTTTATCAGCAGCTAAGTAATCTAATATTCAGTAGTTTTTGTATTGTTTCAAAAATACTGTATCTTTCTCTTTCAAAAGAGCATATAACTGGCCATTGCGGTTAGACTGCCTGTTACTGAAACTCCTGAAAAACAGCTAAGCACCACAGAAAGCAGCGCGCCACTCGATAAACGAAAAAAAAAACGTGGGCAGCCTGCACTAAAGGCGCAAGGCAAAGTCACAGTGAAGCTAATGGTTTCGTAGCAAGTCCGATCTCAATTAGGCGTAACTAGGCGTAATTTGCATAATTCTGCGACATCAAACTCGAGTACTTCGGGTGGGCTTTGATGTCACGCACATTATTCAGTAATATTTATAAATAATGTTAAGGCTAATTAGATTTATATTTAGGTAAATGAGACTCGACTCGGTCAGGAGTAATCAGCATCTTGCTGAGCTTGGATTCTCTGAGCTCATGAGAATTCGATTTCAATTACGTTAATTATTTGTGTTTTAATAAGATGTTGCCTAATTAAAGCTAATCATAATCCAATTGGTTTGATGATGCTATGACCAACCAAGATTAATCAGACTTTTTATAATTTCCTTGGTGTTTGCCTAATTAGATTAGTTATGCATATTTAGCTTAATTATGCCACGTGAAATTCCAGTATAGAGGATACTCTAGCTGGATTTCAGACTAATATTTAGTCATAATTAGTGTTCACAATAATTAGCACTAATTAGACGTAAATTATCCTAATTAGTATGGAGTCGGTAAAGAGTAATTAGTATCTTCCTGACCTTGACTTCTGTGGGCTCATGGGGAAGTCGACCTAGATTAATTGGCCCCGATAAGGTTTGCCTTGTATAGGCTAATTTTGCACGGCTAGGTTAAGGATGAGCATGATCAACTTTGCCTAATTAGATTTGGCTATACTTATTTCGACTCATCTGGGCTCATCTAAGCTTAACTTCGCTTAACATGAAAACACCAAGCTGGACTGGGCTTAACTAAAGCTACTTACACCTCACTTATTTAGGTCATAAAGTGCTCGACTACATTTGATTAATTTCGGCTACATTAACTTTGACTTAGCTAAGCTCATTTAAGTGCAACTTGGATTAGCCCGACAAAGGCAAGCTGGCCTGAGAAAATTTAATTTTGTGCGTTTGGCTTCGTCAGGTTGTGCGATGCTCGCTATGCTTACTTATCCTAATCAACCGGTGTCAATAACAACGCGAGCCGGTGTTGAACCGGCCCCGTCGCAGCCGCTACGTAAAAGAATGACACAGATTCGATGGAGCAAAGAAAGCGACACCCAGTTGTCGTTTTGGGTACGAGCGCCGTAACCGCGTCCAACAGAGCGACATGAGAAGCCAAGTGATAAGACGGGACGCGCATGCGCCCTTGCAGCAGGTGTCTCGTCGTGTCTCGTCGCTAGCTGGCGCGTCGATGCATTCTGCCACGCGATCCCGTGGTCTGCACACTTTTGATCGCACCTGTACGTGCCCCTGGACAGATGCCTAGAGGATATAGAGGGGGAAGCGAGCGTAGGCTAGCAGACGCTGCCCACGTCGGAGTTGCTAGGCGAGAGAGGAGGAGCGTAGGAGAGGAGAAAGAGGGGATGCACAGCAACAGTGGTCACGCCGTACATCGAATTGAGCTCGACGATAAGACGCTTCACATCTTAAAATATAACGGAATCATCTCCGTATGTTGTTATCGGATGGCAACCTCGTTCAACTCGTATTTAAATGTACGAGACCAAAAAGTGCCCAGTAGAACACCAGGTATGCGAGATATTACTGTTTTAGAGCATTGACACCATGGTAGAAAAAGTTAAATATGCGCAAACGGACTCGTGACTCGACTCACTCACACTCAGATTGAGCCGGGAATCTTAGTTAGTGGGTCCAAGTAAAAATTGTTATGGTGACTTTGAATCCGAGTCACTCCAGTTGAAAAAAAAAGTCAGTGTGAGTACGAGTGACTTCGATTGAGAAAAATTTTGGTCAATCTGAGTCCGAGTGAGCCAAAGGGTCTAATATATTTCGTTAGCAATTCTGAGTTAGGTAAACATTTTCTTTTCGACATATGTTAGGCAGTATTGTAATTATAGGTGAATTTTGATTGTGAAGCATTTCTTCGCGTACAGCAGGCACTTTGAGCGTCTATCTACGTATCTATTTATCTATCTAGCCACCTAAGTCTCGGTGCTTCTGTGATCACCCCTTTCAATTTGGGTGGACCAAAATTAGTATGGGAGGGTTAGATGGTTTGACCGATATGAATCGCTGGTCTTCACATAGATAATGTCAGAATCCCGTTACGTACGTCGTCGAACCTTATAAGCCAGACGTTTGGCACGTACCCGCATGCGGATATGCGCCACGGGTATGCGGGTATGTGCCACAAGTTATCGACAGTTTATGTCTACTCAGAAACGGGGAGGACAGACATGGGTAGTTTTAACGCGTGAGCGTTTAGAGAAAGTGGACATCGGAAGCGTTGACCCAATGACTGCAAAGATTAATTGCCAAGGTCCCAGTAGGAGTCGAACTCCAGCATTCTGCCTGGCAATCAAGCATGTAAGGTCTCGGAGACACGTAAGGTCTCGGAACTACTTTTCAAATAGGCCCTAATGTTCGCGAAACGTCAATAGCGGTTGCAGGGCTGGTTATATAGGAAGCTGATATGAAGCGTATTAGTACTATTCACGTTGCTGTTGCCATCAGTACGCAGCTCTGAACAACTGGTTATATAAAACATATGCAGCTGTCTAACGTGTGTCTGTGCGTGAATTTGTGCACCCACAGCATGCCGTGTGCCTTGACGCTGCATTGCCCGATGGTGTCCATGGAGCAAGAGTCACCGAAGTTCGCATACCTTCTGGTTCTCTTGCGTATATTAAAGGCATCCTGAAAGTCGCTGGGGTTATTATAAGTTTGTTGACACCGAAGCAGTTTTTTTCTTACAATCTGCCGTATGGACAAAGCAAGGTCATCGGGGGGCACTTTTTCAACACTTGTCACAGTTGCGACGGACAGGCGGCCGAATTTCTCGGAGATTCGTTGCATCTTCAGTGATTAAAAGATGCGAGTGTTTAATCACGTAGGACATGAAGTTGAGGCTCTCTTTTGCTATTAATAAATTGCACACGTCTTCGTCTATACTCTTGAGAACGTGTCCAACCTCGTCTTCTTCAGACGTGCTGGCATTTACTATCTTGCACAGCTTCAAAATTTCCTCGGTGTATGCCGTACATGTCTCTCCTGGAAGCTGTGCCCTCGAATCCCATGTATGCTCCTGGCATTTCTTTGTTGTGTCGTAATCGCCGGGGCACTTCTGCAACAAAAGCCTCGTGGTTCTCGTACTACACGAGGTGGGTGACAGCGAAAATAGAAGCTTAGAGTTTTTGAGCCACACGTCGACGTCTTCTCCTGAGCTCCTGCACAAATTTGGTGGCACTCAGTAGTATGGCATGGAACCCATCGAAGTTGGCCACGGTGCAGCAGAAGTCTGGTCTTGGGACATTTTGATTGGTGAAGGCAGAAGTCTGGCAAGGTGGCGGCTGCGGTGAAGTCCAGGGAGCGAAGCTTCCGTGGTTAGGTTCGTCTCACCCAGAACCATCCACCAATCTGTTACGCACGGCGTAGTAGCTTAAGGGGGTTTTAATAGCATTGAGACCGTGACAACCATATACAAGCAACTTGACAATATCTTTAGCGCCACTTCATAAGGTTTCGCTCAATAAAACAATTACAACACAGTCACCTTAAAAGCGCATGCTTCGCATTACATAAACCTCTAAGAAACGTGGGATCTGCCGAATTTTTAAACAGCCAACCTGAAAAATAAGAAAATGCTGGCAGGAAAGTGATTAGCATTGACAGAGATTGCAAATATGAAAGAAGCACGTTATGTACTCTGAACTACACCGAGTATGTCATCACATATAGCCCTCCTACCTTTTGCACCAGCACTTGGTGCCCTATATTTTCTGGTTTGTATGTTTGGTGACGCGCTGACGCCACATTGCTGCAGAGATAGCAGAGAAGTTTGAGAAGTGCTGAAACATTGAATAGGCATTTTCGAAAGAACGATTATTGATATTTCCTGTCAAACCAACTCAGAACTAGAGCAGCAGTTTAAGTAAATTGTAACTGAGTAGGTGGAAATCGAATTACACTACCAACAACACTGCTACAACAAAATTTTATTCGACAGCAAGCAATACAACAAGGTACACTGTAACAACGAAGCATGCAAGACGCTCAAAGTCAAATCGCTTCAGTTCAGTGTGTGCTGCAATATACGCAGCTCATGCTTTTTGCTGCTTCTTTGTGTTACACTTGATAGAGAAAAGTATCGATACAGTGGTCGAATATATCATATTTTACACAAAACGAAACCTATGAGAGACATCTATGATGAAGTATATATTTGGCAAGTCACCAAAGGAAGTGTGGGTACTTCGTAAGGGATCTTGTGTGCATGAAACAAACGCTCACTAAACATTTCAAATATTTCTGTTTGTTTATCTTGTAGAAAACAACTAGGAGTATTCTCAAGCTTTTAAATGTTTTTGTCAGTAAATTTGCGTGATTAAGTAACATTAAGTGCACGAAACTATACGCAACAACACCGCTAGCAAAATTATGCGCGTTTCTAATGTTTTGTAGAAGCAATCACGGTTTGCATACAGAGCATTGCAAGACCGGTGCTTTTGTTTCGTGTAAGAGTATAGCGATGCCTTTGCACCGCAGATGTATATTCTGCAGTGAACCACAGAGATCCCGTAAGCACTGACAAGCTGGGCTCTAATTAGTTTTCGCGCAGCTTAATGCGTGCCCTCTCCTCTTACTTTTTTACGCCTTCGTATTCACGGGCACGCGAATTCGCATCGCACCTGTCTACATCGTAGTGCTTATCACGGATATTTTTTTTTCTTCAGTCGCTGCACTGCATTGGCCTTCACGCTACATATAGATAATCTCCCTGTACGCTATTTCGTATTCACAACAAATGAAAGCGACGCCTCCTCAGACCAACGCTTCATAAGGCGTCAATTTGTTTCTGCTGAAAATGCAAAAAATAAGCATAATAGCAATCATTTGAAACACAAGGATACAATGATTACATACACAGATTCTCAAATTCATTTCAATAACCTGAGAGATATTTTATTGCGTTGAACGAGACGCACGCTCACGAATGTATATCATATGTTTCATACAGGGCAAGAATCATTTCTCAGTAAAATGTAACTATTTAGGAACACTTGCGTCGTTAGTTCTAGGTAACATTTCCAAGCACACTGCAATCCAATGACTGTTGTAAAAAGCGGCCTGTTTTGTTATTTTAAGCGAACAGTTGACTTCGTTTATTTAGAAATTGTAAATAAGCTTGAAAGGACGATAAACCTAGCACTGAATGACGCGTCCAGAAAAAAAAAGAAATTTTAGGAACATGTATACCAGCGTGTGTGCTCGGAAAAACCTACTCCTCTGGTCTACGCGTCCTTCAAGGCTGGATTCTTTGTTCCTTCAAACTACGTACCAATGATCCCAGGACAAGACTATTCTAATACATGTGCAGTTGCGCAAACCTTCATTTTAAAAATAAATTTTGACTACAGTTTGCATTAGGCTGGCTACTTGGGGTGATGTTGTGCTGGCATGAAACTTTATTATATCTATATCGCTGCTTAAAACAAAGCCTCCTCCTGTTTTTTTTTTTTGGTTAACATTCTTCTGTGCTTTTTTTTCTGCACTTTTTTTATTTCGCTTTATATGTCCACTTTTCTAGCACTGTATTTATATGGTACTACACTGGAGTGTCGCAATTGCGATCGTTAGTCATTACTACACCACAGTCACAACACTTCAAAAGAACCTGCAGTAAGTGAAAAACTGGAGTTATCGGCGCTGGTCACTAACGGCAACCGACGAGAGTTATAGAAACACAGGAAAACGTTGAACACATCAGCCATGTGTGTTGCGCATGACTGCAAAGGTGGATGGTAAGTGAGAGGTGCTCATTTTGTCGTGTTTTCACGCAATGACCATCGCATCGTTTTTGTTATGCTGACAATGTGATACCTACCACTCCTCTAACGACGCACTACTACCACATCTACGGAGGGGACATCTGAGATTGTGTGACTTAATACTAGGGATAAATTGTTCTATGTAATGACAAAGTAATAAATAAATAAATGAATAAATAAATAAATAAATAGAAGCTGTATCCATGCTTGCAAATGCAGCTGATGCAGCACGCAGAATGTTTCTATAAATCACATGGTCTTCACAGTAATATAGGAAGTGGAGCGGGCCTAATCCACTACTCCAAAAGGAAGCCCGAATCGGAACAAACGAACAAAAGAGAGATGGCTTCTCATTTCTGCCTCGGTAAATTTTTCGTAGGACTGGAGTGTGGGAGACTTCATGAATACAGGCACGTGCGCTGCCTCGCACTGGCGTCGCCTGGCGATAAACGAGCCCACGCGGTCCCTGCTGCTCGGGTGGCCTAGCCCCAGCGCAGCGGGAGTCCGTGGGGCCTTCCAGAGATGTCACTGGGCAGCTCGGGCTCGTCGCCTCCGGGGGTGTACTGGGGCCGCCAGTGGGCGAAGAGGCTGAGCGCCCGCTTGGTCAAGGCCGGCCGGACACCGCGGCCTTCACCGGACAGGTAGCGCAGGGCCAGCAAGTCGCGGGCGTCAGAGTCCCAGGGCGTCCGGTCGCTGGGACGACCAAGAGCCACTACGGCACCCACCGCCAGCAGAAGCAGGGGACACAGCATGGCCGCTGCGCAGCGTAAACCCTTTATTCAGCGTTGCCAGTAAAACACTCATTTGTGTGGCGAAAGTTGCATTGCTATAACTCGCGTGCGCTTGCGTCAAATGGAATGGGGTTTTTCGTTCTGTAACAATTCAAAGCAGGTCTTCTCAACCAAATTTCCTGTAATGATCCAATTCTATTTATCATCTGCGTTCAATCTCGTGTAGCGATGAATATCAGAGAAAGCAAAAGCGTGACATCATCTGAGCTTGCGACACTGCGATGGCGTGCACGTGACGGCATGTACCCAATGAGTGCGTGAATTTTGTTCCCGCATGTGTATGTACCCTTGCTGAAAGTGAACTCACATTTAGTCTCCTCGAGGGGATGCTCTAGAAACGCACTATCACGGCTAAAATGTCATATCTGATGGTCTGCTATGTGCAACTTATTTAGAAAAGGAATTTTCACTGCTGCCTCTATGGGTAATTGATGCGCTGTGTTTGTTGAACAAATCGGGAGGTCAGATCTCCAAGTAAACGCAGAGCGCACAGCCGCAGTTATGTGATATTAATATTGGCAAATAATTAAATACACCGACTAATATGAACCGATGCATCAAAACAATAATCTAAAGGCTAGACGGACACAGTCTGTAGTGAAAGCTTCCACTGTAAAGTACGAACAAAGGACAAAAATGGTGACAAAAACTCCACGCAACGGTGAACAACATGCATTTGGTCGCGTCGTGATCGCGTGTTCCGGCACATTTTTGATTGATATGTGGGGTTTAACGTCCCAAAACCACCATATGATTACGAGAGACGCCGTAGTGGAGGGCTCCGGAAATTTAGACCACCTGGGGTTCTTTAACGTGCACCCAAATCTGAGCACACGGGCCTACAACATTTCCGCCTCCATCAGAAATGCAGCCGTTGCAGCCGGGATCCGAACCCGGGACCTGCGGGTCAGCAGAAGAGTACTTTAGCCACTAGACCACCGATGTGGGGATGCCGGCACATTTTTATACTCTGGTGTCAGTTACCTGTGACAACCCGTATATATATATATATATATATATATATATATATATATATATATATATATATATATATATATATATATATATATATATATATATATATATATATATATATAGGCGCGTTCGAGGTTTCTAGGTCACTGAAAGAGAAAGGGCCATGTCATGCTTCAAGGTTTTAAATCTTTAGACTGGATCAAGAGGTATGTGTGTGTGTGTGTGTGTGTGTGTGTGTGTGTGTGTGTGTGTGTGTGTGTGTGTGTGTGTGTGTGTGTGTGTGTGTGTGTGTGTGTGTGTGTGTGTGTGTGTGTGTGTGTGTGTGTGTGTGTGTGTGTGTGTGTGTGTGTGTGTGTGTAAAATTACGAAGAATCTCGAATTCAAAACAAACCCGCAGATCAGGACGATAAAGGACGTGAAAGTCTGGCAGATTAATGAAGGAAGAAAATATATAAAAAATCGCAGTATATTCAGGGAGTGAATGATGAGGAGTGGGGTGAAACAACCGTCATCCCTTCCATGCTTCCGTTCGTCCATTCGTTATTGTTTCCATTCGTACGCGCGACCATCCATGCGTCCATCCATGCGTCCGTCCGTCTGTTCGTGCGTCCATATGTCCGTACGTCCACGCGTCTATCCATCCGTCCGCCCGTCTGCTAGTCTGTCTGTCCATTTGTCCGTGCATCCATCTAGTGAACACTGCAAGTACCGCCATCTCCCATTTCGCAGCCCCTGTGGCACATACCTGCTCTAGACCGGGCATGTGCCACTGGTGACCACATACATACATACATACATACATACATACATACATACATACATACATACATACATACATACATACATACATACATGCATACATACATACATACATACATACATACATACATACATACATACATACATACATACATACATACAAGGGATGGACAGATCCACGCCTTAAGAAGCTTTGCCCCTCAAAAATAAATACTTACCGTAAAAGGAATGTCACATTAAACGTTATAAAAGTGGGACGATAAACAGGGATAATCAAAAACTACCAGTTAGGATGCTTGAGCAGTTCTGTTTCAGTTATCTTTTTTGCATGCTGCGTCAGCGATTCATCGCTTCAGATCCAGTTTTATGTTTTCATATTATGGTTTCTGGTTGAAAATGCACGATTGTAGAACAGCGTGCATCTGTTTCTTTTTTGTTCGTTTGTTTGTTTGTTTGTAATGTTTCTTTACATCATTGATACGCACAGTTCTTGTGTAACAAATAACCTTCCGCCTAAATTTATTATGATCTAACAAACTGCGCCGGTATATGCACCATCTCTTATATGCAAGGGTCAATCACGAGTGGCAATTACTCTAGTTCTGCACTATATGCAGTGACGGAAGCGCGATCACTGATCAGTCATGATTAATAGATATGCAGGGTTTAACGTCCTAAAACCGCATATGATTATGAGAGACACCATAGTGGAGGACTCCGGAAATTTTGACCACCTGGAGTTCTTTACGTGCACCCAAATATGAGCACACAGGCCCACAGCATTTTGGTCTCCATCAAAAATGCAGCCGTCGCAGCCGCGATTCGATTCCGTGACCTTCGGGTCAGCAGCCGAGTACTCTAGACACTAGGCCACCGCGGCGGGGTCACTGATCAATCAAAGGATCGTCTTACGTGAGACGCTTGATTCGCAAATGCAAGCTGCAGCTAAAACACTAGGAGGATGGAAGTGTTGCGTCCTTTAAGTGAGCGTGAGATGTTTTCAAGTTGTACGAGTGCCTTTCCAGGCGCTAGTTTCTACTCAATCATCGCACGTCTATCCTATACTAATTGGCGTATCGCTCTTAATGAAATATCGTGTTCAAAACAAATGTTTCCATAGTGTATTTTGGGAGAATCGGAAGTGTGGCGCTGGAGGGTGTAAATGAGTCAATTATTTTACTTGAGCTCTTACGTTCCCAATATAACTCGGCGAACATCTATTCGCTTCAACACGCATTGCTTAGCATACCAATAGATACATTCTCACGGATTCACTTGTGGCCTAAAGGCTGACACCTTGAAAGTTGAGCTTACGCAAATTACCACTGTCATCCTCGAAATTACCTATTTTAAACCCTGCTGTGCTGGACGAAAATATCGATCATGAGGATAATGAGGATCAGTCTTTATTATTAAACTGAACACTCGCATAAAACATCTGTTTTCAACAAAGCCGTAGCTTGTAGTTATATTCTACCAAATCGCGAGAACTTATGATCACGACCTGAATTCGTGTATTTCTGTTTTGTTTTTTTGTCAATGTCTACCAAAATATACTTGTATAAGCTTAACACGGGAGGGGGGACGAGGAATAAACTTTATTATCAGAAACCAGCAGGTCTAGGTGGCCGGGCCCAAGCCTCCCATGAGGGGACGTCAAGGGCTTGCCTCGACGCCGCCTTGCGGGCGTGCTGGGTCGCCCAGGTTTGGTAGTCCAGAGTGGGGCTCCGCAGAGCCTCATACTTCGACGAAAGGGTTGTGGTGTTAGCGTGTTTGTACTCTGCTGGGCACTCCCACAGCATATGCGGAAGCGTAGCTGGGTGAGTACCACAGCAACGGCAGTCAGGGGTTGTGTACGCGTCCGGGAATATGAAGGCGGACAGAGGAGGGATACGCGTTCTTTTTTTTTTTTTTTGAAGTAGACGCAAAGTGTTGGCCTGTGCCCGGTTGTCCTGAGAGTGAGGTGAGGGAAAAGCTCGGCGTCTGAGGTGAAAGTAGGTAGTCAGGTTGTCCCTGGAGTCCATCTCGTCTCCAGTAGCTCCAGTGTGGTTGACAAGGCCTCGCGCAAGGGAGTGGGTGAGCTCGTTGAGGTTGGGGAGGCGTGGGTAGACTGGGCCCGCGTGAGCGGGGATCCATGTCAGGGTGATCATGTTATCTTTAGAGTGTGGTGCCTGGCAGAGAATGCGAAGCGCTTGAGGAAAAATGCGGCCTTTGCTGTAGTTAGTGACGACTGAACGAGAGTTGCATACGATGGTGTCACAGGTGGGATCTAGAGTGGCCAGAGCGATGACCACCTCTTCAGCCGTCTCGGCAGAGAAAGTAGTGACGCTGGTTGCATGGTGTAGGACTCCATTGCGTGGGTGACTGCTGCAAAACGTGTCTTGAGGATACTGAGCTGTGTCAACAAATGTGGTGCCAGGTACGTGGGTATGGGCTTTTGTAATGGCTCTAGTGCGAGTGTGGCACCGGACTCTGCTTTTCTCAGGATGCATGTTTCTAGGGATGGGATCTGCGTGGATCCAGCTGCGGATGTTATGCGGAATCGATTGTTTCCGGTCATCTTGCTGATGATACGTGAAGCCAAGTGTGGAGAGAATAGAACGTCCTGTTTCAGTGAGTGTGAGCCGTTGAAGCTCACTGCGTTGTTTGGCTTCGATGAGTTCTGTAAGAGTCTTGTGAACTCCTAGTTGATTGAGAAGTTTGGTGCTGGTGTAGTGCGGGAGGCCAAGTGCTTGCATGTAGACTCCTTGTATAAGTGTATCCAGTTTGTGTTGCTCTGCACGGTACCAGTTCAGATAAGCAGCAACGTAGGTGATGTGACACAGGACAAAAGACTGCACGAGGCAGGGAAGGCTTTCTTTTTTGAGACCGCCTCTTCGGTTGGATATACGTTTGAGAAGACGTAAGGTGTTGTGAAATTGAGCAAAGATCTAGCTGAGGGCCAAGCCGTTAGAGCCATTGGCGAATATAGTGAGACCGAGGCACTAGGAACGTGCAGGATAGGGTTGCCATGTTGAAGGTGAAGAATGATGGCATCACAGGGTTGTTGCTTATGTAGGTGTTTGGCGGGGGGGGGAGGGGCAAGGGTGTGGTGGGTGTGAAGTAAGGGGTGGTTCTCTGGTAAATGGAAAGTCCCACCTGCAAACGAGATGTTTTGAGAGTCCGGAGAACTTAACAAATCATTTCGTGAAATGTTTGAGTATCTTGTCCCAGACAAAGCCGCGAAAACATT